CGATTCTGTCTCTTGACTTTATTTTATATATCTCTGCAAAAATGGCAAATCCAACAAAAAAACCCAAAACAGTTAGCAATTATATGTAAAACACTTTAAATCTGTTTTCCTGCTATATAGAATATCTATTTCTATATCTGTATTCCTAGATATAACTCCAAAACTATGCAACAAGTTTTAATTCTGGCTAATAATGCACTTTGGGTTATATTTTCTTGAATTTCTATTGACTGAAGTTCACTGCTTGGAGGAAATAACAAGTAAAACACACCATTTGCTCTGGATAAACAAAGAACAAAAAATCCCTCCCCCCCATACTTCCCTTTGGAGATGACAATGCTTTGCTTAATACATTTTCTGCTATAAATGTTTATCATATTGTGGTATTGAGTATGGAGACCTAAAGAGAGGAAGCTAACTCCTGAAGTTTTATTTTATTCTGACAGAATGTCTCTACTGTGCATGCTACTTGAAAACACACAGGTTAAGTCACAGTTACAGTGTAACATATAGGAACACCTAATTACATAGTACCTAATAGTACCTAATTTAGGTTAAAATAAATTGTATCTCAGAGCCATACCATCTTGGCATGGTTTATTGCTGTAAATATTTTACATCATATAGGCAAAATATCAAAACTAAAATTAAAGTTTATACCAAAAAGAGTTTTGATGTTAATACTTTATCCTTTCTCTCACTTTTTGTTGCATATCTTAGTCACTTTGGGCCAGATCCACAGCCAGCTTGTGTGCTTTACTCTGGGCACCCTTTGCTTCCAGGGATAGTAAACCCCACAGTACTAGTTCTTCCTTTTCAGGTCCATCTAGGGCCAGGCAGGGACATGCAGGCAGTGGATTGCAGCTCTGCCCCAGCTCCAGCCTGCATTGTCACCTCTGCAAGATCCCAGCCTTGGACCCAGAGCAGCTCTCTGCCCAGCCACACACCCTGCCAGCACAACTGGGGCCAGTCTCCATGGAAAACCTGGCTTTGCACTGTGACAGCACTGCCGCTTTTGGGGTCTTCATGGAAAACAGCTGCATTGATGTGAGCAGGGGCTGCTGGGAGATGAAGTCTACTGCAAGCCCAGTCTAGCCCGGGAGCTCCAGAAGCTGCTTAAAATTACTGTGTAACAAGGCCCTTAAAAGCAATGGGCCCTGACTTCTCTATGCTTAGTGCCTCCATCGTATGGCCTGGTGCATAAATTAAGAGACAACCCCTATGCCTCACAGAATTTCACCCCTATGAACTCCAGATATAACCACATGAAAACAAGGACCTCCAGGTACAGACAAACAAAACTGCATTCCTGCAAAGGGTGGAAAATTGAAAAAGATGGGTTAAAGGATTTCTAGAAGTGCCCTAAGCATCATCCGTCCTGCTGCGGTTGTGCCAGTGCTGAGAAAGACTTAGAAAACTCATTGAGCCAAGAGAGAGCACAAATGGGAGCATGGCTCCATAGCTTAGGGTTTGTTGCTCATGTCAGAAGGGAGGAGAACTGGGTTAGGTCCCTGCTCCTAGGACTGTTTATTTATTTTATTCCAATGCCTAGTTAAGGGAAAACATAGAATTAAGAGCAAGGATTGGGACCCACAATTCAAGTTCCTGCTCCAAATCTGGTAGAATACAGATGTGAAAAACACTCCCATATTCTACAGCCATGCCTTTACTCTGGCCTACTGGATATAAGTGGGCACATATTTCAGTTACCACCTCAATGTTCAGTACAGGTGATTAGGCACTGTCATAGATTTCATAGAGGGGTTCTTGCTTAGGATCTATAGCTTTTCCATAAGCTCTCTGAGTGCTCCCTGGAGCCAGTCCAGGCAGAACCTCTATGTGAGGGCAAGCACATTGCTCCTTGGACCTTGTTGCATCTGTGGCCCCGTCAGTGATGTCAAACTGTCTCAGGTCCTGACAAGTGACCATCAGAGATTTCCAACTGGCTGAGCTCTTTTATCCCTTTAGGAAAAGAAATAGTAGCAAAAGTTAAATGCCACAGGGCAGGATGCCTTTCTAAAATAAGACAACATTTAATTTCTAAAAGGTGTTGGTTAGCTGGAATACAACAGGCAAAGTGCCGGGACCAGGGGGCACTAAGCCAAACCTGGGAAAAGTCTACACCAGCAAAAGCATCAGGATATCTCCACATCCTTTTTCTCACTATGGCTGCATGTGTCTCCTTCTGGGGGAGGACAGGGGTGCAAGCTGTGTCCACTTCCAAGACAGTTTTCTAGACAAGTTTTTAACTTTTTATTTTCACTGCCCAGATGAGCACTAGACCTTGCAAGGTATCCCCAGAACACTAGTCAGCCACGGAGAATCTCCTGAATGGGCACAGCCCTTGCTGAGTCTTCAACAGCCAGTTGGGTGGTTCTCAACCTTTTTAAACTTTAGGCACTCTTTGATAGCCTTGCGGTGCCTGTCAATAGGCTCCAGGGCCCCCTTGGAAAATGCTAACTCTATTTTTCACTTGTTTCCTTGACTAGAGAAGAATAACACAGCAAGTCTCCTGTTGCAAAGAGCTCAGGACACCCCAGCAGGGCAGAAAGTTTCTGAGGTGCAGATTCCTGCTGTGAACCTCTGGATTAATCTGGGGCAGCTTTGCCAGGTCTTAAATATAAAATTATTGTCTTGGAAGCTCAAAATTATGGCATGTGCTGAAAAACTATTGTACACTGAAAAAATATGCAAATAAGTCTTATTTACTTTATTTTGCCCACCATTAGGGTTGCACTGATAGAGATTTTGTGGTGAATACCGATACCCGATTTTTAAGGAGGCATATTGGCTGATACTGATCCAATTTCCAATACCCAGCCTGGCAGCATGGAGAGCTGCCTCTGGCTGGTAAGCCTGGTGTGATGGAACGGGAGAAAGGGGAGGGAAAGGGCTGGGAAGGCAGATCAAGGCCCCCAAAGTGAGGAAGGGTGTGGGGCTAGGGCAAGCACTGCCTAGCCAGAGCAGGGTAGGCTTGTCACAGAGCCATGGCTTATCCGGGGGGCAGGGGCGGCTCTTGCTGCTGCGTGCTGCTCAGCTGGGAGCCGCTGGTCTGGCAGCTCGTCCGGTGCTTGCCTGCTCATCTGGCAGCTCCTGCCACTTGTCCTGGAGGGCACGATATCTCCGCAGGGCAGGCTGGTCCTGGGCTGAGCTCTTCGCATGCACAGGCCATGTATTGACCAAATTATAGGCCTGATATGGCCAATTTCTGATGTAGTAAATTTTCTTTATATCGGTGCTGGTCTGGTATCAGACCAATGTATTGGTGCACCTGTACCCACTATAACTTGCTAGTGAGTTGGAATGAGATCAAAGTTGAAGTATTTCTTTACTTTGAGGTAAGCAGTCACAGAAAACTGCTGACATCAAACCCAGCCGCTTGTAGGCTAAGACTGATGTAGGAAGCATCTGAAGTCCCAGAGTAAAGAGTCTGGGATGGAGGATGCTTGCCTATACAGGTTTCCCTCGCTTTCTGCGGGTTCTGTATGTGCGAATTCGATCTTATGTGATGACCCTTTTTATACGAGAAATTCATTATATGCAAGGTAAATTCACCGTTATACGATCAGTGTGGTGGAAGCCCACAGCCACTTGCTTTGTGCAGTGCATTGTGTGAGTGACACACCAAAATATAGTTTTCCCATGTGCATCTGGGCTCCTTGCTCATTGTCTGCAACACGTTTCTATAATTGCCACCCCCATTATGACAATGCCCTGTGCTTGTGAGTACTGTCTGCCATTGCTGAGTGCCAAAATCATCTTGTAAAAGTGGTAGAAATGGGTCTGGAGCAGGGGTGATGCGTGGGGGGTGCAGGCGGTAGTGCACCCCCTACAAAAAGGCGCTGCTGACACTGTCGGCAGTGCCTGTGAGTGGTCGCCACTTGCCACCCTGTCACCAACACTACCGGTGACATCTGTGGGCAGTCTGTGATCACCACTGGCAGCCGCTGCCGGCAGCACCTGTAGGTGGCCGCCAACCCCTGGTTGGCGCTCGCCAACCCCCCACCTCCAGCTGCCAACAGCGCCAGTGATGTCTGCGGGAGCTGCATGCTTACCGCGGCTGCACTCCCACCACCGCCACCAGCGCAGCTGTGCCCCCCCAAAGCCGCCGGGGTCATGCATCATTCATGGTCTGGCGGTCAGTACAGTTGAGGCCTTGGACCATATCCCAATTTGTAACATTGTAAACTGGGTTTCCTTTATGTGAATTCAAGTTATGTGCCATTTTCCAAGAATACACGTACAGCATAATGCGAGAGAAACCTGTAGTTTCTGGGAGCATCTGAATCCCAAGGCCTCTGGGCTTGGGCCTGCGTGTAGGATGCCTACCAATGGATTTGGGAGCATCTGAAGTGCCAGGGCGAGAGGCGGAGGATGTTCGGGGTTTAGAACAATCGAGTTCCACTTGCTCAATAAATACGGTTTTTGGCATGACCGATCTCTGCTCAATCCATATGATTTGGAACTGATTTGACCTGGAACATGAAATATATTAATAATGAAAAAAACCTTAAAAGCCGGTTAAGATTCCGTGAGAGTGACTTAGGTGTTGCATGTGCTGCAACAGTCACCTGCCTCAAAAACGATGGCCCCTTTTGAACGCTTTGACCAGTGTGGATTGTCCACTGTACGCGGGGGAACTGAAGTGCGCGGCACCGGTTTCTGGGGGGACCCCACTTCCTGGCGAGCAGCTGCGCTGCCAGCCCACTTCCGGGACGCGGCGGTTGCGGGCGAAAGATGGCGGATGCGGTGGCTGCGCCGGGCGGCTCCTCGGGCCTCCCCGGCAGCGG